AATAGCGGTCGCTAGCGAGGTAATTATACTAGTCTTTCTACCTTCTTAGGAGGTTATTAAAGAGATAGCGTTATAGTTAGCCTTATTAGCTCCTATAAGTGTTATTACTAGGACGGATTAATTAGCCTTATCTCCTTCTTATAAGGTTATAGGCGAGGTAGTTAGTTTAGACCCGGTCCCCCTTATATCTGTAGAGGAAAAGAGTTGTTATCCTATTACTCCCCCTCCTATCCTCGTAGCCAGCCGTACTAAGGACTTCGCTTACTTCCGCGAGTTAAATAAGTAGACTTAGCTACTCCGGGGGATCGCTATTATATTCCGTACCTTTATTACTATCTAAGATAAGGTTACTCTATAAGCGTAAGCGGGGCTTTACTATTATTAATAACGCTATTATAGGTAACGCCGGTATCGGCGATAATAATAATAATAATAATAATAACGAGGTATCAGAGAGTAAGGCTAGGTAGGCCGATTAGGATAGCGTATTAGCGGCCGTGGTATTAAATAAGGAGGAGCAAAAAGGGGAGGCGCTGATCGAGGCCGATAATCCTAATAATAATACCTTTAATCCCGCTGGTAATAATTTAGACTTATATTAAGGGAGGCCAAGGCGCGGGGCCTATCCGGCCTATAATAATATTTCCTACTCCCTAGCTACTATTATATAGTCGTTTTCTCCTCGCCTCTTAGTCGGACTTTATATATACTAACTAAATAATCTATTATTAGTATTAGTAGATCCGTATTTACGCTTAAATTCGTTAAGGGCGCTAACTTTAGCTAATACCTTAACTAGGTAGGTTTATTATACCCTTTCTAGCGTTCTTATTAAAGCTATTCTCGTAAGGAGTAGAATATAAGTTAATAACCGAAACGCCCTAGGTAAATACTGGTTAGTTTATCAAGGAATAATCCAGAAGTCTTAGATTATTCGTTGCCCGTCTCTATAAAGAGGTCCTTAGGGTGTTCCTTTTATAGCCATCCTGGGTCTACCTGGAATCCTCATGTCTATCCCCGCCTAGCTCTCTTAATATAAGACTATTATATCTGCTATCTTAATCCTTAACCTCCTATTAACTCCTAGTGGCTCTATATTTAACCTCTTATAGCCTAATATACAGGATTCTAGATATAACCTCGGCCCTTCTAGATCGTAGCAATATCTCTTATACTTACTATCCCTTAGTTATATAATAGCGATACTATAGCGACTACCTATTAATTCTAGGTATGTCTGCTACTACTAGATAGGTCCTTCTAGGTCGTGGATATAAGTCTCGTAGATACTATCCCTTAACTATATAATAGCGATAGTATAGCGATAACCTATTAATCCTAGGTGTGTCTACTACTACTAGATAGGCCCTTCTAGGTTATAGATATAAGTCTCGTGGATACTATCCCTTAGCTATGCTATTAAGATAGTGCCATATTAATAACCGGTTAGTTCGTGATATGTCTGCTGTTATTGAACCCATAAGATAAGTATATCTTATCGTCCCTTTCTTAGTATGCCCGTGACAGTACTAGTACCTTTTTATAGGTGCCTTTTCCTCGCCTCTTAGTCCTCGTATAAAGGACTTCTTAAATAACCTACTTATCTTTATCCGTAAGGTCGCGAATACATAGTAGTTAGGGGTTATCGATAATCTAGCCTAATGAGAGGTTATCGCTTACGCGTCGTAATACGTTAATATAGAATTAGGCGTAGATTTATAATAGTATAGATAATTTGACTATATTAGGATCAATTACCTTTATTATATAGTATTTACCGTATAGCTAGTTAAGCTTTTTATACAGGGCGTGGTGTTAAGTAGTTCCCTAATAAGAGCTAGACCAGGTTTTCTACTTTAAACAGTTTTACTAGTAAGCACTATTTATTCGCGGTATCCCTATTCTATAACCACGTTAATGTTATTACGGCCTAGGTAAATTCGGTCGCTTCTTATAGATAACGTACTAAGTTACATGCCAAAAACTCTCGCGAGTTATGTAGTAGCTTTTCGTTTACTTAGATTGGGTCGATATAAGAACTATAATTAAGAAAGAATAGATTAAGGCCGGTCGTAAAGCTCTCGCGATTATTTAAGGCTAACTAGCCCGCGGGTAATAGGCTATCCTAAAGATCCTAAGCATAGTAGATAAATACGCGTAGATATACTTATACTTCTTAGTTTACGCGTTTAGTTACTTCATTCGTTTAAGGGTAGAAAGGAGCACTAAGCTTGCGCGTAATATATATAAGGTCGTAGAAATACTTCTAGAATCGGGTTATCTAATTCGACCCTCGGTTACTAACTATTAATCTTAGTATACCGTGGAAACGGAAGTAGTAGTCAAAGAACTATTCTATATAGGCCTCCGCCTTTATTATCCTTATCGCTTTAAGCATTATAGCTTTGATTAATTAATCGGTAATAACTTAGAGGTAAGACGCTTTCTTCTTATTAGCTAGGGGGAGGTTCGTTATAAAGTCTATAAATAGGTTACTCCTAATACGTTCCGGCGCTAAAAGAGAATATAGGAGACCTCGCTTAGCGTTTCTTTATATATAGCCTCTCTCGTATACATCGTAATTCCGTATAAACCGATATATATTCTTATTTATACCCGGCTAAAAGAACCTACGCCTTACTAAGGCGATAGTATTTTCCTGTCCTAAGTATCCGTTAATTACCGAATCGTAGATAGATTAGATGACTTTTCCTTATAGCGTCGAACCTTTATTTAAACCTAGTATCTAAATACGATCTCGCAATAATAATAGCCCGGAGGGCAATACTAAATATTCCGCGATCTATAACTATAGTTTAAGCGTTAGTCAGAACTAGCGTTCTCACTTAAGTATAATATAAAGGGCACCTTAGTATTACGGGTTAATCGGTAACGTGTTTTCCTATAATTACTATAATTTATTATTTATATCGAAGATTCTTAAAGCGTTTATTAAGCGATATAGCTTTAGTAGCATCCCGGAATCCGGGATTAATTATATATAATAAGCTTATTTGTACTTATCTATTATATCTTAGAGTTTATCTTACTAATAGCACGATAATACGTTAGCTGTTGTATTATTCTTCTCTTTACGGTATTTGATGATAAAGTCGAATTAAGCGAGCTTACTAGCCTAATAGCCTTATCGCTATATAAGCGTTTATTCTATGATAAAGTACTCTAGGGCCTTCTAGTCGGAGAAGATACTAAATTAATTATAGCTAATTAGTTCCGCTCTTTACGCTATTAAGTTACTTGTAATCGCTAATATCTTTTCATCGTGAATCCAGTAATTATACTGGGCTAAAATTAGTCGTCTTAAGTAGTATACGACTACGTAGCGATATTCTTCTATATTTTCTGAGACTAATCCCCCGCCTAATACGAAACCGGAGTAATTAGTCTTAATAAACGTTTTATTCGCGGGGTTTTAGTATCGTAGGATCGGTCATTCTATAAACCTTACATTAATAGTCTAAAAGGCCGATTCTTCCTCGGGGCCTTATTAGAAGGTCCGGTGATTTTTTAATTAGCGCTATTAAAAGGCGCTAATCGCGAAAAACTCCTTTATATAGATCCGGTAGTAATTCGTAAACCCAAGGAAACTTTATACTCCTTTTCCTAATATTAGCGTTTCCTACTCGAGGATTACTTAGAGTTACTCGGGGTTATACCCGACTCCTTTATTTACGGTAAGTATAAACCTTAAGTATTTAACTATCTTTATAATTAATTCGTACTTAGACGGGTTAAGGTTAAGACCTATATTAGCTAGGGCTCGGAGTACTTATCTAACCTTCGCCTTATAGTTAGCCTTACTCCTATTAGTGTAAATAAGGATAATATTTATATAGGCTAGTATAAAGTTATTAACGTAATATTATATCGTTTTATTAATATATTATTAACAGGTCGCCGGTATACCGCTTAACCCGAAGGGGTATACTAGCTATTTAATGAGTCCGAAACCTAGTATGAACTAGTCCTATCCTAATCTTATAGTAAGCGGCTATAATATTAAGTTTCGTAAACTACTTCGTTTCTATAAGATTATATAAGGTTTCTATATTTAACGGTAAGCGGTAATATTCTTAATAGATGATCGTGTTTAGCATCCGGTAGTTATACTAGAAATATAGTCCTTTACTAAGCTTTTTTATAAATAGTATAGGTGCTACGGCTTCTAAGTTACTTCCTCGGATAAACCTCTTATCTATTTATTAAGAGTTTTCCGGGGTATAAGTAATTCTTCGCGCAATATACTCTATAGTAGCCCTTGAAGTAGGGGTGGTTCTTTATTGTTTATTCCTCGTATAATATTTATTTCGTGATTATTCCCTAGTCGGTATAGGGGTAATAGGTTCGTCTTATCAGGGGTAAATAGGTCGCTAAACTCTTAAAGGACCCGTTTCGGAATAAGGGCCATAGGGTTTATAAGGGCCTTTTTCTATAATACCTTATCGATATCCCTTAGCCTAATACCGTTTATTACGGTACTACCCTTCTAGCCTTTCCTTTATGGCCGGCGTATAATAGTAGCGAAGACTAATCTCGTAATAAGGCGGGCGTTACGAATTACTTAGATATTCCTTTTGTTAGGACAATACGGTATGTTATCATAGCTCCATATTTTCGAGCTCGATAGTAAAACGTCCGGGCGCCGTAATCCTTCCCGTGACCCATGAAAAATGAAAAATGAAAAATGAAAAGGAATTGCTGAAGCTAACCTTTCGACAAGGCGGACTATGGGGAGAAAGGGCGCCACCGGCGCCCGGGAAAAAAAAAAGCCAGCGGGTCAGACCACGGTCGGATAACTAAGTGCCAAGACCGGAATAACGCAAGGCGCCTAGCCTAATAGCATGTCACCTCTGTACGAAGCAAAAGGTAATTTTGATGGTCTGGGCCTTTCTAAGGTACATATAAAGTACCTGTGCCCACGTCGCAGTTACATCAAGTCGGCAGCATGCGGAGGACCTGGAATTGGTCTTTGGGAGACTGCTCGACGACGATACAGGTGGGCTCTATCACTGTTCGCATCTACAATAAGAGGTGGTTACCCGACTGTCCAGCTCCTAAGTATCTTATTACACAAATGCCATCGTGTATTAGTTGACACTCCTGTCGTGACTCGTGACGAACGTGCGCGTATGTAGCCTGAAGGGTAATAAGAACAAGAATGCATGATATCTTTTAAACCATCCTTCTTCCTCCCCTTCATTCCCCGCCACCGTGGCAGGGGCGCGCGGCACGAGAAACGGGGGCCAAACCCCTTGAGCTATTTCTTCTTCTGCATCTTCTCGGTGCAGACGGGACAGTACCATGTGCCGTTAGGCTCGCTCTTGAGGCCGACACACGACCAGTGAAACCATTCATAAGGGCAGTCATCGTTGTCGCACGCCACCATGTCGCCGAAACTGACGTTCTGGCACATGCAATACTTTTTATCGTCGCCCGCCTCGTCATCGTCCACATCGGCCATGGTCTCGTCCGCGCCCGCGTCCTTCGCGTCTCGTGCCGGCGTGCCGCTTGCCCGGTCCAGCCGGCTCTCCTCACCTTCGTCCACGCTCCCGCTTTCCGCTTCTGATAGCTCGCTGTCCGCCGTTGACGCGGGCGACTTTCTGCTCCCGGATTTCTTGACTCGTGAGAGGGAGGACTTGCTTCCAGCGGCTCCGGCCCTCTTACGACCGGCACCAGTAGGGGTTCCCTTTCTGCCCGCTCCGGACGCTCCCGATGCTTTCTGCGAGGACGAACGAGGCCCGGCGCTCCCCGCACGCACCGCGCCATTAACTCCGTTCGCGCCAGCGCCCTTCGGCGTGCCAGGTCCTAGCGATGAGTGCCTTGCCAGGCCGCTTGAGGCGGCCGGGACGCTGCCCAGGCCTGAGTTGGACCGGGGGCCTCGTTTCGGGACACCACTGCCCGGACCGGCTGAGCTCTCTCGCGTCTGACGATTGAGGATCATGCTGGCCGCGGGGCTCGTCGGGGCCGAGGCGGGGTACTGTTGTTGGGATTGGGCGTTTCGGACCTGAGGGTTAGTTGCCCGGGCAGTCGCAGGGCCGACCGAGTGAACGGCGGGTCCTGGAGTGGCGGTTGCATTGATAGTGGTTCCTGACAGGTGACTGGCCGGGTTGACGGAGCGAACCGACGGCCCAGAGTGGTTGGCAGCACTGGGTCGGAGAAGGGAGGGGCATTTGTCTGGGTCGTTGAAGCCAGGCTCGGCACGATCGTAGAGCAGTTTAATGTGCTGGTCTAGATTCCGTAGGTGCTTATCCATGGTGGCTTGTAGCCTCTGCGTCAGGGTGATCTTCTCGCCGGCCAAGCGGTCTGCGCGTGCATAGTGTTCGCGTATCACGGCCCGCATGCCCTCCTCCCGTGGGTTCGTCTCATGACTGCCGTTCGCCTTGATCCATTTCTGGATCTTGCCGTCGCGATCCTCTATGACCTTGATGCACTCTTGGTACTGCCTATCCTTGTCGGCGATTTCTTCCTGGATAAAACGGATCTCCTCGGGAAAGTTCTGGACCCGGTTCATCCAGTCGTCGAGGATGATAGCAGGATCCAGTGCTTCGACCTGTGGCATCCTTCTGACAAAGTCGATGGAAAGATCGTCTCTAGGCATGGTGTTAATGAGCCAGAAACACGCCCCACAAAATCCCACGCGGAAAGCAGATGCAATAGCTGGGCAGGCGAAGACGCTGTGAGAAGAGCAAGCAAAAAGCGCAAGATCAAGGTCTGCGGTAAAGCGGATAAACGTCGTGCAGTGAGAAGATCCAACGTCCCGAGTCCGCAGACCAACGCCAATAAAAGAATGCACCGGCGCGCGAATGGTAAACCCGGGGGAAGGGGGGGGGGTGGGGGGACGGGCAAAAGGGTTCAAGAAAGCCGTGCGTTGGTAGGTAATGGCGACAACATATCAGAGGGCTGGCCAGATATGTCGGTGATAGGCAGGAAGGGAGGAGCAAACAGGACTTGTGCACAAGAGGCTTGCGTGAGGTGATGATAGCCAGCCAGACAAGGACAGCGAGCGAGGAGAGTTGGTAGCAAGGGGATGGGATGACCTGCACGCAAGGATGTATATGCGTCGCTCTGCTCTCTGCTGTGTTGCTTTACTCTCCGGTATTGCCTCCCCCTGATTATGTGGTTTGCCCTGGACTCGTCTGACCTTGGCGGGAGGTATCACGGCCTTCCCTGCAATTGGCAAGTGACAATCGTAACTTTGCTCACCTTGAGAAAGATGAATGCCGTGGCCCCAGAGTAGGTAACTTAACGAAGTCCTATATGAAGAAGGAAGATGAATGAATGGGAACTTGGGTGGAAGTGACAGAGATTTGATGTCGTATACAAAATGGTTTGTCACGTCACCGGAGACATCGACGAGTCGGAATGGATCTGGTGATTGAAACCCAAAGTAAGTGGGGGGAGGAACAGCCCCTTTCTTTCGTCTTGTTCTTATTTTTCCGTAATAAGAACCTCGTTGCCTCGTCGACTTGTTGAGTGCCCGTTTTCCGGCCCCCCATGTTCCGTCTTCCGGGTCGACTTAAACTCTTCTTGGGTAAAATAATCCACTACTTCCCCACTACCCGAAACTAAGTGCGTTTTATAGGTCTCTCGAAGTACCTAAAGATAAAAAAGAGCACGTATACGAGTACTCTTTAAAGAAGGACTCTATAAAGAAGGACCCCTAGCCCTCACGCTTTACGGTCAAGCTACTATATTATTATAGTATTAGTTGTTATTATATTATTATAAAGGGAAGAAAAAGTAATAGTTAGGTTAACACGTAGAAATCCGGATACGGAATACGTAGTCGGAAAAACACCGGATAGTTATATACGCTAATATTATGCGTCGTGTAACTAAGGAATAATAGGTCTACTAACCGTATTTATTTATTTTAATTCTAATACGCGCCCCTCTACGCGTACCGCCCTTTTCTTGTTCCCTCCTTTCCTTCTTTTTCCACTTACCCTTTTCCACCTACCTTTTCCTTCCCTTAACCTATCTTAGTATATATTTAAACTACGGCTATTTAAGCCTAGTATTCGTGCTTTAGAAGACAACCTACAAGATAATAGCGCGCCGAGCAGAGTCGCGATATTACTCTAGTAGTAGTAAAAGTAGTGGTAATACCTAGTATTTTGATTTCTCGGATATTTAGGTACTTCGAGAGACCTATAAAACGCACCTAATTTCGGGTGGTAGGGAAGTAGTAGATCATTTTACCTAAAAAGAGTTTAAGTCGACCCGGAAGACGGAATAGGGGGGTCGGAAGACAGGCACTCTGACTTTTTTCGCGGTTAACACGGATCGAGCTAATAGAGACGGACAGTTTCTTATGCGACTACCCGTGCCCGCGCCACTTATCGGGCGTTTATTTCTTACTAACCCTTATAACTTAGTGCTTAATAGTAAGATAGCTATGTTAGTAGAATAGCCACGTTCGTAGGATAGCTATATTAGTTGAATAGCCACCTTTTTAATTATAACGATCTTAAGACGTGTTAGAATATAAATAAGGTACGCGGAATTATATGTGTATTTATCTAATTAAAGTTTGTGAATACTTTATAGGGATATCTAACTATAAGGAAAAAGCAGGGGAAATAACTATAGATATATAGGATCGAGGTACTCTACACGTCTAATATAATATAGTATGTTATACCCCGATAAGGTGGCTGTGGTATCTAATATACCCCCCTAAAATTATAGGATTAATTCTGACTATTCTGTTTATTAAATTAATGCTTAAATTCCAGGGTAAATCGGAGCTAGATATTAATTAACGGCGTTATAGGCATTAAAGCTAAAAAGCAGTTAAAAAGTGTTAAAAACAATACCTAAATAATAGTATATAGAGATATAAAAAGACTTAAAATAACGGTCTAATCGACTGTTTCCCGTTAATTAAAAGCCGATGGAAGGGCGATTTCCCTTATTAATTACTTTAATCTAACTTAGTTGGGACCTCTATACTACGTAGATATATAAATGCGCTGTGTTTTTACGGGGGTAGTACCGTTATAGGGCTATCGCTGACTATATCGTTAGTAGCGATCTAATTAATTAACATAGGCCCTTTTCAAACGGTTTATCGGATCTAAAGGACGTGGATATCGAGATACTTTAATTTCGAGGTAACTTAAGGCCTAGGAGATTCTAGTAGTTACTTAGTTTATTAATTATCGTAGTATACTTTTGGTGGTTCCTCCTTAAAGGTTAATATTAGGCCCTTTATTAAACGTTTCATTATAATATACTGCCTAATAATAGCAGAAAGTTCTATAAGCTCGGCTTTAGTATTAGAGGTCACGACGCTTATTTACTTATTTGTCTTTTAGTCTATAGGACCCCCGAATAATAATATAGTATAGCCTTAGGAGTTATACCGAGTCTTATAGTTATTAGCAAAGGCGGCGTTAAAAGCATAAACGCGTATAGGATATTAGTTATCTTTACGTGGTGCGAAGTAAAGGTATAGTGTTTTCGTCGAGCCGAGATACTTTAAGCACCTATCTACGGTATCGTGATACTATTTTAACAGGTTAGTGCTAAAATCGGTAAGCCTTAAAGCGGCTTTAGAGATATTAGGCCGGGTCTAATAAGCAGCGTAATTAATAGAACCGACCTTCCGAAGATATAGATAGATTAACTCTTCGGGGGCTTATTAGTCGGTAGTAGATAGTTCTAAAACATTAGGATAAGGAAGAAGGCTTTTAACCCTATAACCTCTATAATCCACCTATAACGTCTTTATCTTATCTATAATATAGTTCTTAAAAGAAACCTAAAGCCTATGGTAGTAGCGATCTCGAATACCTCTAATCCCTAAGAACCACTTAATTAGGCCTAGATCTTTAATCTGGAATTGCTACTATATCCGTTATATAAGCTTATTAGTAGCAGATTAATATTCCTTCCTATAAATTAAAATAATATCTTTTACATAGAAGAACGCGATTAGTTCCGTATTTTTAAAGACGTAATCGTCTTTAGTTAATTACTTTAGGCCGTACTTACCTATAATAGAAGAGAGCTATTCGTGATATAGCTTTAAGGAACGGCGGAGGCTATATAACGCTCGCCATAGCCTTTAAATACCTTTATAATACTTAGGGATATATATAGATTACTTTAAAACGTCCTCGAGCTAATTATAGACTTTAAGGCCCGTAGCCGACTAGAGTAACTACTAATCAGGGGCGTCCTTAATATAGATTTCCTTATTAAGTAGGGTATTAGTGAATATATTAAGGGGTTAAGTTAGTAAGTCTCGAGGTCGAAATAGGCTATAATACCTATTAGCGACCTAAAGATCCTTCTAGTAAGAGTAGACGCGTAGGTATTAAGGTAGTTATTAGATTATTAATTCCCTTAAATGTAAAGACGGGCCTTAAATGTATTAATGTAGTCTATAAGATCGATCTTATACTTAAAACTCCATTTAAGGTTTAGTAGCCTTAGAATTAATTTAGATAGTCCTGAGCCATGCCCCTGCCAGTAGGACTATTCCCACCGTTTAAAGGTGCCTATTAACCTAAGCGTGCCGACCTCCTATAAGGCGGCCTTGATCCATTCTAATTTATAGGGACTCTTTAGTATTTATAACTAGTTTAGAGGTTCCTCGGATATATGGCGGCGTAGTAACGGCTTCTTCGGCATCCTAATCTAATTATAGAAGGTATAAAAGAAAGGAGGGGTATAATAGTCGGTTAGACGCCCACTACGCGTAGGCCTGTCGGTAGCGGCCGTTAATATAGCAGGAGGGCGGCTTCTTCTGCTTATAGAAGCAGGTTAGTTAGTGGTAGTAGTGGAAGAAGAGGTTTAAGAAGACTTAGCCGTAGCAGGAGCCGTCAATACCGGATTAACGGTAGTGGCGGTGGTTGGTTCCTCGTTAAGAACTGATTGTTTAGCGGATAATAATCCTATCGCGACGGTATCGCCGGTTATAGTAGTATCGTCGGCAGATTGATCTTCGGCGTTGTTAGGGCGTTTAAAAATAGGCGGCAGATCTATAGTTCCGGTTAGTGGTGTAAGAGGGCCGTTTATAGTTATTACAGGAGTAATAATAAGTGTAATTATAGAAACCGTTAAAATAGGTGCCGTCGGAGGCGTGGAATGTATTATAGGGCTTATTTGCCCTGTTCTACTTGCCTCTTAATTAGGTGCCTCCTGCTATTCCTGCTATTATTATTCTTCTGCAGAGTCTGTAGTGGTTATTAAATCTATACCTCTATCCAGCCCCCTAGGAGTACCGGTAGTAGTAGTAGTAGCCTCCACTATAGCCTCCCTTGTAGTATTCTGCTCTAGTAGTGGTTAAAGTAGAAGATCGGCAAAGTTAGTAGTAATAGCGGGAGGATTATAGAGTTAATAATCCACCGATAGATTTAATTACTTAAAGACCTCTTCGGTAACCGGCGGCTCTATATCGCGATCTTTATATAAGAGTTTTGCGTTAAAGGTGACGTCTCTTATATATAGGATCCTCCCTAATTTTAGTATCTAAATCCAGTATGTATTAGTACTCTTATAGCTAATTAAATACCCGCTATATACTTCTTTAGCTAACTTAGCGTTACGGTTATAACCTTATTAGTATTTAGCGGTTAGCGGATAGGCTCTATACCTATACCTCTTTAGGTGGCTAAAAATAGGGATAACCTCTTAATTACAATTCCTCTCTTATCGGCCTATTTATCGAAGCCTTTCTAAAGGGATCGTTCTGTATCCAGGCGGATTACTATAATTATATAGTAGTACTTCTTCTACAGGAAAAACTTAAAATTCACTAATATAGGCAAGGCTAACTTATAGTTACACAGGAACCTTATAATAACTTAACGAGTATGGAGATCGTATAGAAGTATCACGATCTTTATTCTATTATAGGCCTTATTAAGGCTAAAGAGGTTAACCTCCACCCTATACCACGGTATCGTCGATTAGTGGTTAGGCGACGGTCTAGAAATAACCTTCTTCGCCTTACTAAGAGCATAGACCTTATAATCCACTATAAGAGGGCCTTTTTAACGTCCTTTAATCACGCCTCCAGTAAGGACATCTTCTATCTTTTCGAGGGAAGCAGCGCCGGTATACCCTAGCCTTTTATACTATAAATAAGCGTTAGCCACGCTTATTGTAGGCGTTATAGAGCTATTAAAGAAGCTGCTTAGTAGGTGTTTTTAACGATCCGTTAGAATAAGAGCGTGTTAATCGTTAACGTTATTTAGAAGTAAGGCTAATAAGCTCTCTCCAGAGGCCATCTTTAGCACTTCGAGGCCGGAATCAAAAACGACACCCTATTCCTTTAATCTTCTAGTTACGATTAAGGTTATTAGGTAGTCTTATATAAAAGTAACGCGATTTAGCACTAAAACGAAGGGATTACTATATTCGTCGTCCACTTCCAATTATATCCTGCTATAACTCTTAACTGGCTTAGTCTCTCTACTACTCGTTTAATAATAACGGTTTTTAATAGCAGGTTTAAAGTCCTATCGTAGGTATCGCTAGTTAG